CCTCCTGCCACGCCCAGCTGTCGCCTCGAGCCCCTCTGCACCCAGCCCCCTCCTGGTGACAGTGCCACCGTGCGCTGCCCTCACACCGAGGACGTCAGGGACCCCAGCCCGCGACAGCGTGTTCGTGTGACGTTTTCCTGCCGGTGGCCACAGTGGGGACAAGGCCCAGCGGACCGCAGCAGCCTGGGTGGGGTGTGTCCCGGAACGATCACCGCCTCCTCCGTGGTGTCCCACAGGGACCGCATCAGCACCGTCATGGCTGGGTGGCTCTCGCGCCCTTTGGATGAACACTGATTTATAATGCTCTCCCCAGGCATTCGCCCATCTGGCACACGCTGAGAACTCTGCTGGCAGATGGGAGGACAGTGATCTGTGGTCAGCTCTCTCCCTTGGAGACAACAGTCTAGAGGCCGAGGTCTCCCTGGGGCTGTGTTGGGGCCATCAGGGGATTTGTGAAACCCACACTGAGGACCTGGTTTCCTTGTAGATGGGTCAGGGCCTTGCATCTGCTAACTGATGCCCTGGTGACCCATGGTCCGCAGGGGGCTGACCTTCAGTCACCAGCGAGTCTGACTGAGGTGGCAGGTGCTGCAGTGCAGACCAGTGAGGTGACATCAAAGATTAAGGGTATGCAATAAGCCAGGCGTGGTGGCGCACACCTGTAATCCCAGCATTCAGGAGGCTGAGGCAGGAGGATCGCCAACCTGGGTTCGAGACCAACCTGGGATACACAGTGAGTTCCAGGTCAGTCTCCACTACATAGTGAGACCCTATCTCAAAAAACCAAATAAAAAATAAAAAAATAAAATGCAGGCATAGAACTATTATGCAATTTTGCTGGGCGTGGTGGCTCACGCCTGTAATCCCAGCACTCGGGGAGGATGAGGCAGGAGGATCGCCAACCTGGGTTCGAGACCAACCTGGGATACACAGTGAGTTCCAGGTCAGTCTCCACTACATAGTGAGACCCTATCTCAAAAAACCAAATAAAAAATAAAAAAATAAAATGCAGGCATAGAACTATTATGCAATTTTGCCGGGCGTGGTGGCTCACGCCTGTAATCCCAGCACTCGGGGAGGATGAGGCAGGAGGATCGCTATGAGTTCGAGACCAGCCTGGACTACATCGTGAGTTCCAGGTTAGTCTCAACTACATAGTGAAACCCTGTCTCCAAACAGACAAACAAAAAGATCAAGGGTGTGCAGAGACCAGCTCTCCCACAGCACAAGCACACTGGACTCCCAGAACCCGGAGGAGGCTAGATCTAAGGAGACTCCTGGTTCCAGAGAGGTAGGTCCATAGCAGGCTGGCTCCAGGGAGCAATATCATGGTAGGCGAAGCAAGCTGATCGGTCCATGGTAGCCAGGAAGCAGAGGAGGAGACAGTGCCAGAGAGGAAAGGGCCAGGGGCCAGATACTGTCCCCGAGTCCACACCTCCAGGCCCTCCCAGACACACGCCAAGTGGGCGGCTCCCAGTCACTCAAGTGGACAACTCAGGCTTAGCTGTCGCAGTGTACACGCGGAGAAGGAAGAGCTGGGGACACCCCAGGGAGGGAGGACCAAGGTCCCCCACAGCACAGAGTTCAGAGAGCGAGACGGGTTTGAGAGAAGGCTGGGTCACAGCTCTGCGTCCTGAGTGCCATCCAGAAGGGTTAAAGTCATCATATGACAGTGACCCACCCATGCCCATGTGTACAGCAGCGCAACTCACAGAAGCCAAATCTTGGAAGAGGCCTGTACATCCATCAACAGATGGAAAAGAAGATGTGGTGCTTTCACACCGTGGAGCACTACTGTGCCATAAAGAAGGGTAAACTTGAGTCACGGGTAGGAAAAGAGAAGCAGCTTGAGACCATAATGTTAAGAGAAATAAACCAGACACAGAAGATTAAGTATCAAATGATGGCTCTCCTAGGAGAAACTCAAAGTAAAGTGTGACCAAAGAACAAAATAATGAATAGAAAACAGGGAGGAAGGCTTTTTGGAGACCGGAAGGGGATCTGGGGGTGGGGAAGATGGGTGGGAAAGGGAAAGAAAGATGATCAAGACGTAATGTATGCTACAGATTCTGATGGCCAGGTGTGCCGGTGCGTGCCTGTGATCCCCGAGGCCGGAGGATCGAAGTAAGCTCAAAACCACCCTGGGCTACATAGTGAGTTCAGGGCCAGCCTGGACTACAAAAGGAGACCCTGCCTCAAAAAAATAACTAAATAAAATTCTTTCTGATGAATGTTATCATTATGTATATCTAAAATGTACTGAGAGGCTTTGCTTCAAAGAAAGGAAGGACGCAATGTGCCTGTGTAACCCACTCCCCATAAGGAGTATATCCACAAACATGTACTGCACAAATTTTTCTTTTCCTGGTACCAGGAATTGAACCCAGGCCCTGGCACTTGCCAGGCAGGCATGGCAGCACTGAGTCACATCCCCAGCCCCTACGCAGAAACTGTTTTAGAAGACAAGGCCTGGGTGCTGCATGGACTTGGGGTCTCCCTGCAAGGAAATCAGCGAGACGCCCCCATGGTCCTGAGCGCGGTCAGATCTGTATTCCAGCAGAGTGACCTGGGATGCAGGGAAGCCAGAGAGCCCAGGAGTGGAGGATTTGAGGTTCTGAGGCCATCCGGGGGGAGGCGGGGCTCCTGACTGCAGCCAGTGCCGTGGTCTGAGTTCCCACAGAAGAGCAAAATCCTTCCGAGTGTTTCAAACAGAAATATTGAATACGGGATTACAAGCAAGAGTGCTGAAAATACCAAGCTGGGAGCAGTGGCACACACCCGTCATCCCAGCACTTGGGAAGCTGAGGCATGAGGATCGCCGTGGAGCTCCAGGAGAGCCTGGACTATCCAGCAAGGCCATGTCTCCAGAAAACCAAAATAAAAATAAAAAAGCCTGAGGATGCAGCTCAGTGCAAAGGCCCTGGCCAATCCCAGGGCTGCGGAAAGAAAAAAGGAAGAAAAGAGGGGAGAGGCGGGGCCGGAATCCACCTAACCGGCTAAATGTCTTCCTTTACAGCCCAGGGCACTGTAGGCTGCGGTTCATTCACCCAGGTGATCCTGGGACTGACCAGAAGTTGAGGCTCACTGACGCTAGGCAAACCTGGCATTTCCAAGAGGACACCACGCATGCCGCTGGCTTGCGAACAGAACAACTTCAAAACTACCAGTGCAGCTTGCATGAATGCATGAGTCACTCACTCATTCATTCATTTCAGATGGGCTCTCGCTGTAGAGCCCAGGCTGGCCTTGAACTCACAGTTACCCTCCTGCCTCAGCCTCCTGAGTGTTAGGTCAGAGGCGTGTGCCTCCTCTCCTGAAAATTCCCAGTGCAGTTTCTATCGAGTGCATATCATTTTCCCACCATGGTAAAGATGAAAAACCTAAAGTTGAACCCTTGTTGGTCAGGGAACGTCTGTACAAAGTAAGATTAAAGTCATTCTGCCGGTGAGTCACCCCTCAAGGGCTCAAGAGCTACATGTGAGCCGGGCGTGGGGGCGCACACCCGTCATCCCAACACTTGGGAGATTGAGGCAGGAGGAAATGCGAGTTCCAACCCAGCCTGGGCAAGTGAGTGACTTAGCAAGATCCTGTCTCAAATACATATATTTAAAAGGGCTGGGAATGCAGCTCAGTGTGAAGGGCCTGGACTCAGGCTCTAGTACTGGAAAGAAGAGTATCAAGTTATTTCAAAGAGAAATGTTAATCTGTGAAATGATCCTTAGAGTCATTTGGGAAAGTGAATCCCACCCTCTCTCACGGAGGACAGACAGCCACCGAGACATGGGTCACACGGTGGAAAAGCACGGAGGTCTTCCGAATGATCCGAGTATGAATGGGGCCCACAGGACCTTCAGGTGCCAGAGATGTCACATGAAGACGCCACCCTGAGGGGACTCAGAGCACGGCCAAAGGTGAGCGCGCAGGTTGCACACAGAGGCTCTTGGTTCCAGCCCCAGTGCCACAAGAAAAGAACTGGACGGCATGTGACAGAGCTGCATGTCTATTACTACTGACTTACAGCCAGAAGAAATTCAGCGTGCTCTTTCTCAAGACGCATTTTACCGACTTTTATTTTTTAAAAAGTGAGAGATTAAGAAGAGAATGCTGTGCCTTTGCTGTACAGATCCATAGAGGGAACCCTTCCAGGGCAGGTGTCTTTGGGGGAAAATGCGACCCACCCACCGAGGAGCCTGGGACAGTTTGCTTGTCCTTTTGGTGGGGAGTTCAGACAGGGTCTCCCTGCATAGTTCAGGCTGGCCTTAAACTCACTGTGTAGCCCAGGCTGGCCTTGAACTAGAGGTGACTCTCCTGCCTCAGCCTCCCGAGTGCTGAGACTATAGACATTATAGATGTGTGTGCCACCACGCCTGGCCCCAGCGGAGGCTTTTCAAGGGCACTGAACAAATGAGCACACAGAGGCTGAGTTCTGAACTGCTGATTCAAGTAGAATGGAGTTTTACCAGTCACCTCTGCCCTCTGCAGCAGTAGGGAGGACTACAGCTCGTTCTGCCTGGGAAACCCATGAAAGGGCCCCTGAGGCCTGTGGAACCTGCCCTCCAGCAGCTCATCCTCTTCCTCCTCACGGGCTCTAGTCACCTCCTCCTTGATCAGGATGTCGTCCATTTCCTTCTCTGGGCCCTGGAGGAAGAAGAGCACAGGCCAGGCAGCCCACGGTCACCTTGTACCGAGAGCACCTAAGGACAACAAGTCCATCCCCGGGGCTGCCAAGAGGTCCTGGGTTCCACCCCAGCTCTTTCCCAGAGCCTCCCAATGCCTCTTATGCAAGAAAGTGATCACATCCAAAGTCTGCGCCACAGTGCTTTGGTCAGCTTTCCATGACTGTGACAAAACACCTGAGGGAATCAATTCTGAGGAGCACCTGCCTTGCAGGAGCAAGCTTCCAAGTTAGATCCCAATCCCGTACCAAAAAAAAAAAAATTGTCCTGATTGTGGAGGTTTCAGCCCCATTGCCTGGGGCCCAACACCAGAAGCAGCTCCCCTCAAGGCAGCCAGGAAGCAGAGAGGAAGGCATTGACCTAACAGCCCTTTGAGAGACACCCCAGTGACCTCACTTCCTCCTCCCAGGCCCTGCCTCTTAAAGGTTCCACACCGAGGTTGGCTATCGAGCTGAGTGATCCCACGTCTACCCCCAATCTAAGCGATGATAAAGGAGATCTGACACACGGGGACAACAAGAGCAGACCGTGTGACACTGGAGGAGAGGTTAGCACGATGTGGCCACGACGCAGGGAACGCCAGGAGTGGATTGTGGTTTCCACAGCCTGCACCCATCTTGATTTCAGCCCAGTGGGAAGGATGTATCCCCTCCTGTGGCTGACTATGGACGGAACCCTCCAGAGTCACGAGCCGAAACCAGTCTTTCCTCCATTGGAGACCAGCTGCCCCAGTCTGGCTGTGGGATCCTCAGGGATGAACAGGGTATGCTCCTTGGGAAGCAAAGAGGCCCCTGAAAACCTCCTGTGCCGTAAGCCAATTGGAGGTTCCCCCATCAGGCTCCCAAGTGCTGTCCCACACCACACTCCGGTGTGGGAGTCATAAAAGTTGGAGAGTGCTAACAGGATAACAGGTCGTGCGTGCATCCTCTGTACCTTGGTTTGGCCCCAGGTGGCCTTCCCAAAATTCTCTGCATATTTCTCATCATCTGTGAGCAGGAAGTTGTCGAAGATTGTTCCCGACCTCACCTGCAGGGGAGAAGAAGAGGCCTTCACTGTTTTGGTTCAGGTTTTTTTTTTTTTTTTTTGACAGGGCCTCACCATGACTGACCTTGCAGTCCTCCTACCTGAGCCTCCCAGAGTCCTGGGGTGACACGCGCGTGTCACCACGCCTCACTAAACTCAGAGTTTAAAGTAAAGCCGAGTGAAAACCCAGTGACCTGCCACAGCTCCAGCCCGATGGCGCCGATGCTCTCGAATTCCGAGAGGTCGTACCGAGTCAGGTAGCCAGTACTTGGCATCTTTTCATGGAGCCAGAGGTCCTGATCCATTGCCTCTGGTTTCAGGCCATCCTGCAACAGCCAACCGTGGGTCACCCAGGGGACAGCGGGAGAGGACAGGCCCGGCACGTCGGGTGGGTGCGCGCACACACCTGGTAGGGTGGCTTCTGCAGCATGGGCCCCGGCCAGTCTCCGTCCAGCTCACTGTTCCAGTCGCTGGGCTTGCTGGCGCCGGCGTCCAGGAAGTGTTTCTCCCAGTCCTGCAGGGACACAGCCCGTCAGGCGCCGGGGTCTGGGAGCGGGATTCCCTGCCTCCCTCTTCTACTGCACAACTGTGGAGGGAAGCCGGGGCCTGCACTTGCCGCGCTGGTGAACGCAGGCTGGCCCGAGAGAAGCCCCGGACTCGTCGCCAGGTGCCGGGTCACAGGGAGGACCCGCGTCCCAACGCTGGCGCTGGGGGGCTGAAGGTGAAACACGGGTGGAAGGGAACCGCGGGAGATGCCACGTGTTAGCGGCCACTCCCCACGACGCATCTGTTCTTTCTGCCACGGTCACACGGACTGTGCCCACAGGAAGGGCAGCTGTGACGGGAAGATCTGCCGGGGGCCTGGTGGGTAGTGGGAGAACGCAGCGGTACCATCGAGCCCTTCGTACACAAGTGCAGACGCACAGGGACCCACTTCACAACGGTGTCCCCCGAAAAGCCACGCGTTTAAATCCTAACCCCCAGTGTGGTGGTGTGGCGAGCAGAGGCCTGCAGGGGGCGCCAGGGTTTGGATAAAGGTTCCCATGTTAAAACCTGCGGGGTAGCACAAGGACCTGAGTTCGATTCCCGTTACCCCCCCCAAAAAAAGCTGCGGAGGCGCTGGGACCTTAAGGAGGCAGGGCTTGGGGAGGAAGTGGGGTCACACGGGGCGTGGACAGGAGGGGATAGAAGGCCGCAGCTTCTCCTCCTGCCGGGTGAGCATCTCCCCCAGGGATGCTGTTAGTAGGCTGCCTGCCTCCTACTTCCCTGGTCTGAGAGCTCTGAGAGGAGATGAGCGCTGATGAACCTTTCCGGTCCCTGGAGCTGGTGACGCGGCAGTGATTACTGCATTGTCTCCGTGGGCGTGTGGGGCAGGGGGACCACCTGACTCCCAGGGGACCTGCACGAGTGAGGCCGCTGCCACCCTGTCCCTGGACTTCCAACCCCAAAAAAGGGTCTTTTTATTTTAAAATAACAAATACTTTTTTGTGGGGGATGTTCTGAGACAGGGTCTCACTACGTAGTTGAGACTGACCTGGAACTCACTATGTAGCCCAGGCTGGTCTTGAACTCACAGAGATCCTGCTGCCTCAGCCTCCTGAGTGCTGGGATGACAGGCGTGCGCCACCATGCCCGGCACCTTTTTTATTTTTTTTTGGAAACAGGGTCTCACTATGTAGCTCAGGCTGGCCTTGAACTTGTGGCGATCCTCCTGCCTCAGCCTTCCAAGTGTTGGAATTACAGGCGTGTGTGCAGGGACTGGAACCCGGCCTCATGCGTGCTAGCCAGTGCTCACCACTGAGTACAGTTCCATATGTAACAAATTTTAATAAATAATTTTTTCTGTGTGGCACCAGGGTCAAACTCTGGTCCTTGCGCTTGCAAGGCAGGCACCACAGCACTAAGCTAAATCCCCAGGCCCAAGTAATATATTTGTAAAAGTTCGGCCACACATTATCTTTTTATTAAGAAAGCACTGCTTAGGTCTGAGGTGTGGTGCTTGCTTATCATGCAGGAGGCCCTGGGCTCCATCCAACTTTAGCACACTGACAAAGTAAAAAAAAAAGAAAAAAAATTCATTTAAAAATCCTATCTGCCAGCCGAGTGTGGTGGTGCACTCCTGTAATTCCAGCACTCGGGAGGCTGAGGCAGGAGGATCACTGTGAGTTCGAGACCAGCCTGGGCTACACAGTGAATTCTTTTATTTTCCTTTTTTTTTTTTTTTTTTTGTAGTACCAGGGATCAAACTTGGATCCTTGTGCTTGTGAGGCAGGCAGCGTCACCACTGAGCTAAATCCCCAGCCCCACACAGTGAATTCTTGGTAGTCTCAACTACATAGTGAGACCCTGTCTCAAAAAAACAAACCAAAAAGAAAAATCCTATGTGCCAGGTGTGGGGAACACACCTGTAACCCCAGCACTTGGGAGGCTGAAGCAGGAGGATAGCCCAAGGGTTTGAGGCCACCTGTGCTACACAGTGAGTTCAAGGCCGGCCTGGACTACATAGCAAGACTCTGTCTCAAAAAACAAACAGGAGGGGGGTATTTGGCTCAGTGGCACCGCGCCCTCCTCATAAACCCAAGGTCCTGATTTCGATCCCCCCCACCAAAAAAAACCCAGAACAAAAACAAACCAGTAACAAAAATGAAACAAAACCCTATGCGTTCCCGTTCCCGTGTCAAATGTGAGAGAACCCTTCTGCAACATGTGGCCGCACGTGGCTGAGTGACTAGGCTGAGTGCTGCACTCTAGAGAGACAGCCACTGTCAGGAGACGTCTGTCCCCTTCCCGTGCAGCGATTGCGCAGCACCGGAGGCCCGAATCCCACGTCCCAGACACGCGCCTGGCCTGCTCCTGCTTTCGCCCGCTCCGAGCCTGGGGAAGCCACTGCCTGCTCGGTTTTCCTCAGCGACGTCAACTGCCAGTCATACTCGATGCTGCCCGATTCGATGGACCGGCCGTCGATCTTCACTTCGTAAGTCAGATCTGGCCTCAGGATCAGCGTGTAGAGGTGCGTGAAGCCGTCCACCTGCACGCAAGAGGGACAGAAGGTTCAGTGAAACCCTTGCAGGTCCACACAGGCCGTGTGAAGCTCGCACTCGGCAGTCTCATGGAGAAATGAGAAGAAAAGTCAGCCGTGGAGGCGCACGCCTGTGATCCCAGAACTCTGGAGGCTGAGGCAGGAGGGTCACTAAGACCTTCAAGGCCAGCCTGGGCTCCATAGTGAGGCCCTGCCTTGCAGAAAAACACAAAAACAAAACAGAAAACCAAAGGCAACAAAGTGACGTCTGCTCTGAACACACCTGCTTCCCAGGGAAGAGCATCCAGTGCACATCGCAGACAGGCAGGCCCCTCTGCCGGTCCTGGGAAGCCACAGGTCTGGGACACGAGAGAGTCAACAAACAGCCCAGCCTGCTCAACGGGACCCTAATGGGCACTGCAGTGGCTTCCTGTCCTTGGAAAAGCCAAACTGGGCTCTGGAGCTGTGGGCAGTGGTCTCTTCTGTCCCACCTGTGTGATGCAGGGTACAGCTGCTGCCCTCACACCAGCCAGAGCCACTTCCCAGGCTGGCCTCAGACTCTCGGTAATCCTCCTGCCTCAGCCTTCTGAGTGCTGTGATGACAGGCGTGCAGCACCACACCTGGCTCAGGTTTTTTTATTTGCAACACTGAGCTGCATCTCTGGCTCTTTTTAAAAAATTCTAAGACAGGGTCTCTCTAGGAACCTGCCACCCTTTTGCCTTGGTCTCCTCTCTAGGTAAATGTCACCATGCCTAGCTCCTCCTCTCCTTGTTTTTGAGACAGGGTCTCACTATGCAGTTCAGGCTGGCCTTGAACTCACTATGCAGCCCATGCTGGCCTCAGACTTGTGGTGATCCTCCTGCCTCAGCCTCCCTAGTGCTGGGATCACACACCTGGCTGCCCTTTTTCAATTTATAAGTTGGGGTCCATCACCCCAGGTTGTTGGCCTCCTGGGTGCTGACATCCTGTCCCACGTATGTGCAGAAGCTTCCAAACCCGGTGTCTGCCACCCCCACCACCGGTCTGCACTTCAGACTCAGCATCCAGCAATGTCCTGGACTCCCAGCCCTTCCTGGCCTGCAGTCCCTTTCCAGTGCCTGGTGGTGCTGTTTGCGGCCATCGACAGCATCCTGGCTCTCGAATTCCACACATTGCAGTGCCCACGAATTCTGATTTTTTTTTTTTTTTTCTGTCTGCAGTGCTGGGCTGGGACCCTGGCCTCACCACAGAGCCACACCTGGACTTCGCCCTCTCCTGGGATCTGCACCCATAGCGCCTCAGCCTCAGAGCCTCCTGTCCCCTCTCACCACCTCCACGTCCCACCTCTGAACAGCCAGGGCTTCTCTTTGTTTGTCCCTTGTTTTTAGACAGGGTCTCGCTATGGAGCCCGAGCTGGCCCTGAATTTACGACCATCCTGCCTCAGCCTTCCAGGTGCTGGGATCACAGGTCAGCAGCTTTTATTAACAGGCAGGTGACCTCCCATCCCAGGAAAGTGTTGCAGTCGGTTGCCCCTGTGGGTGACACAGCTGTCCTCCGAGGCCCCAGTGGCGGGCCCTGTGGCAGCACGAGTCTGGGCCATCACGGCCCAGGGCCTGCGACCTTGGGGACCTCGTCCTGGCTGCTGTGACCAGCTCTGCAGCACCTGTGTGTCCAGAACCGATCAGGACCAGCTGTGCAGACGCACGGACAAGCACAAGGTTGCCGTTGCCCCACGGGCTGGGGTATTGGGCCAACCACAGTGTGCAGCGGGACCCACTGATCCTTTAAAGCCCTTCTTTGCCAGGAGTGGTGGTGCTGCCTGTAACCTGGCGTACTGTAGACTGAGGCAGGAGAGTTCCAAGTTCAAACCAGTCTGGGCAATTTGGTGACTTTAGTGAGATCCTGCTTCAAATGGAAAAACACAAAAGGACTGGAATGTAGCTCAGTGTGAAAGCTCTGGGTTCAATCCCTAGTACCAAGAACAAAAATGTTTTTCCATGGGCTTCCAGAGTAAAACAGCAGGAGACAGGCATGGTGGTGCATGTCTACAATCCCAGCACCTGGGAGGCAGGCAGCAGAACCACTGAGCTAAATCCCCAGCCCACAAAAAGGAAGTCTTGCCACGTATGTGCTGGGGTCTGAGGGTTGTGTGATTTCCCCAGAATGCTCTTCCGCACAGTGCCACCGTGCATGGGATGGTGACAGAGGCCTCTGCCAGGTGGGTGGGTATTCCGACAGCAGAGCGGCAGCAGCCCAGCTGCCCTGGGCTCAGTCACCTTGGCACAGCCAGCTCTCCCACGAGTCACAGGCAAGAGTGAGTACCAGCTGGGCACCGTGTGGCACCCCCTGCCCAGCTGCCCAGGAGGCTGAGTCAGGAGGAGCCCAGGAGTCTGAGGCCAGGCCTGGGGAATGTAGGGAGTCTCCATCTCAGAAAAAAAAGTGGGGGAGAAATGAAGGAAGGAAAGAGAAGAAAAAAAAAAAAGAAGCAATCACTCCTCTGAATAGGAGAGCAGTTACCTTACACTTGATGAATTTCTTGTTTGCGTGATACTCATTCTTGAATTGTAAAATAACATGAACTTTCTTGAGATCAAATCCACAGATATCCGGCCCTACAAACACGAAGCAGCCATCAGCACCCCTTCCCCGGCTCCACCACAGACGACCCGCCCGCTGGCCTCAAGTGTGCTGCAGACCCTTGTCGGGTCCTCCTCTGGCCTCTGCCCGGCCCCACATTAGGAGGGGGCAGGCCTGATGCCACCTGGGCGGCCCCTAGGCCTGGTTGCGTGTTCCAAGGGCACAGGGAGGCACCGCTGCCCTAGGAGAGAGGAGGTGCTGCCTGGGCCTCCTGCGGCTGCTCTGCCCAGGGAGCGACAGTGAATGGGTAGAAATCACTTACCTCTGTCTGACAGAGTACACGTCAGCACCGCGTGTGTGTGTGTGTGTGTGTGTGTGTGTGTGTGTGTGTTTTAAGTTTTTTCAGAACCGCGGATGGAAGCCAAGGCCTCGGCACTGAGCTACATCCCCAATCCCCTTTTTTCTTTTTAAAGTTGAGACAGGGTCTGGCTAAGTTGCTAAGTTGTCTGGGCTGGGCTCAAACTTGCCACCCTCCTGCCTCAGCCTCCCAGAGTGCTAGGATGATGGGTGTGTGCCACCAAGCCTATCCTGTCCTTAATGATAAATCCAGATTGCAGGCATGAGACAGATTATGATCAGGATACAGGCTCTGATTGGTGGTACAATCTAGAGTTCCATTCAAAATTTAAGGGCTCTGTGTGTGTGTGTGTGTGTGTGTGTGTGTGTGTGGTGTTTTCTTCTGCAGTATGGGGATGGAGCCCATGAATTCCAGGCAAGCGCTCACCACTAAGCTGCACACCTAACCCTATGGTGGTTGTTTTATTGAGACAAGATTTTGCTATACAGCCCAGGCTGGCCTGGAACTCCCTGTGATCCTCCTGTCTCAGCCTCCTGACTGCTGGGATGATGAGCAAGTGACACCACTCCCAGTGCTGAGTGTTAAATTGGTACTTACAGCAGACAGGTGTGGTGGTGCACATCTGTCATCCCAGCACTGGGGAGGCTGAGGCTGGAGGATCTTGGAGAGGTCGAAGCCAGCCTAGGCTACCCTGTCTCAAAAATGAGATCCTACCTCAAAAGACCAAAAGAAATTCTGCCTGGGGACTTGGCAGACGTGGCGCTGGGCTGACCTGACTCTAGGCCACAGCCTTGGCTTCCTTCTCTATAAGCAGGTCCTAGGGTGACACGAGGCCCATGTGGGAAGCCCCCCTGGATGTGTTTTTCCTCTCCCTCCTCAGCGCCCCATAGACCAGAGGCCAGAGCTGAGCCACCCACCTGGGCAGAGCTGCTGGAGCACATGGAGTTCACTGTGGGTTAGAACTGCAGAAACATTTTAAATATTAATTTTTTTATTGCAGTACTGGGGATGGAGCCCAGGGCCTTGGCACTGAGCTATGTCCCCAGCCCTTTTTATTTTTTCAGACAGGGTCGCACTAAGTTGTGAAATTGCTTAAGTTGGGCTTACCCCTGTGATCCTCCTGCTTCAGCCTCCCTCCCAGGGTGCTGGGATCCCAGGTGCGGCCACCAGGCCCATTTTCTGAGTGTCACGTTGGCCTTGAAAACACTTAAGGGCCGGAGTGTTGGCCTAACCTGGCCCAGGCCCCGGGTTCAACCCCGACTCTGGGCCCCGACAGTTTCAGATTTGAGAGTGCGCTGGGTGTCAGGTTCAGGTTAGGACGTCCGGCTGCATGGGGTAGAGGGAACAGCGTGGACACCAGGGGTCGGGGCCCTCACTGCCGGGCCTGGCTGTGCTCACCGAACATGATGTAGTACGGGGACTTGGCGTTCAGGCCCCTCTGGTCCAGGTCGGCCGGGAAGACCTTCACGTAGCCGCCGCCGCAGTCCATCTTCTGCTCGTGCTTTACCGTGTACTGCAGCACCAGCGTCTGGCCCTTGTTGCTGAACGGCCGGAAGCGAGCAGAGATGGCGTAGAAGTGGCTGTTCTGCGTGGTCTGCAGACCTGCAGGCGGAGGGGTCCCGGGATTGGTACATTGTCTTTGTTGTTTCTTTGTTTGTTTTAACCAAGATCTCACTGTGTGGTCCAGGCTGGCCTGGAACTCACAGTGATCCTCCTGCTTCGGCCTCCCAAGTGCTAGGATTAAACACCGGTCCTTTTGCCCTCCACAGCAGAAGTCCGGACCACTTGCTATGACCCGCTGCTTACTGCACAGCGCCCACCCCTCCCGGCTCTCCTCCACACAGTTCGACCCTCACACCGCATGTTCTGTGCTTCAGAGCGCGCCAGCTGAGCGTGCTGCAGTGGTGCTGGGGCTGGGATCCAGCACTCGTGCATGCTGGGTAAGGGTTTGCCGCTGTACTGCACGCCCAGCCCTCTTTAAAATTTTATTTTTACCCAGGGTGCTCACCTGCAATCTTAGAGGAGGATCGCAAGTTCGATTCCCACCCAGGCAACTGAGCAAGACCAGGCGGCACACTCAGTGCTAGTGAGCCCTCAGGTTGATTCCCAGTACTAAATGAACAAAATAAAACCTTATTTTTGAGACAACGACTTGCTAAATTGTCCAGGATGGCCTCCGACCTGTGCTCCTCCAGGCCTGGGGGACAAATTTGTTCTTGTTAAATTTGGGCATTCCTGGCTGGGTGTGGTAGTGCACGCCTATGATCCCAGCACTCGGGAGGCTGAGGCAGGAGGATCGTCTCACATTCGAGGCCGGCCTGGGCTACAGTCATGAGGTCACGATGGAGGGGGCGTGGAAGGACAGTGAAGAGAAACTGGCTGAGGGGATTTGCGCTCCTCCTGCCCCTCAGCCCCCAGAGTGCCCACCCAGCTGCCTTTGGATTCTCGACAGGAGCCGTTCTTCTTGGGGACACACGGACTCTCAACAATTTTGATTTGCGTTTCCCTAAAGATAGTGGAACACTTTTTCATGTACTTATTGGCCATTTGTATTTCTTTTGAGAAGTGTCCGTTGAATTCATTTGCCCGTTTATTCATTGGGCTATTTTCTTGGAGAGTTTTTGATGTATTTTGGAGTTCTTCATATATACTTGATATTATTAATTCGGTGTCAAAAGCAAAGCTAGCAAAGGTTTTCTCCCATTCTATAATTCTCGTCACTGTTTTTCTTCATGCCACAGAAGTGTTGTGGTTTGTTTGTTCCTAGGGACAGAACCAGGGCTTTCTTACTGCACCTCATCTTGACCCTTTTATTCGATACAGGGTCTCGCGAGATCACTAAGTTGCCTGAGCCCGGCTCAGACTTGAGGAGGTGAGGCCTGTGGTCCCCAGACTCCTCTGACTGAGTACCTATGGACAACCTGGGAAGAGCAGAGAAAGAAGAAAACAAAACACAAAGCAAAGAAAATCCTGTTTGTGTCTTGGTGGCCTCCCTGAGAAACAGCGAGGGGTGCTGGGGATGTGTCTTACATGCGTTCAAAGTGTGCTCTGTGCCTGTAATCGCAGCACTGAGGGAGGCTGAGGCAGGAGGATCTCAAGTTCGAGTCCCTGGGTAATTTAGCGGCTCTGTCTGAAGACAGATATGGGTACGGGGGTGGGTAGTGCCGGCAAGATGCTCTGCGGTAGGGGGCCCGTGGGCTCGGGCTCGATGCCAGTACCGCTGAAATAAAACATGAATGAATGCATGCGTGCTGTGGTGATATAGCCCTGGCTCGGCTTCTCCGGAGTCTACACTGACCTTTGTCCTTCTCTTTGTGACCATAAAACTTCCCCGACGACAGTCGGAAGTGGCCGAGACGGGAGTCGTTGGACGGCACCCAGCGGTTCCTCCAGCGCTCTGCGGGGACAACACCGGTCAGAGCACCGAGGGCAAATGCGGGGGTGGGGCGGGGACCCAGGTGTCGCCCATCACCTCCGTCCAGAAATTCCTCCTGGAAGAACACAGTGGCCAGCGCCACGCGGAGCGCGCACAAGGCCCAGAGCGATACGCGAACCCACGCCATCGGGATCGGGGCGCTCCAGTAAAGCCCCTTTGCGCCCAGCGGTCTGTGGAGCGAGCCGGGACGTCCAAAAACTACAACTCCCGTGACGCCTCGCGATTATGACATGGATCGCTATGGCACACGCCCCCCCCCCGGTCCTCGCGCGGTGCATGCCGGGGCCGCCCTGAAACTACAAGTCCCGTGACTCCTCGCGATTATGACCGAAGAGACCATTGGCGAGAGACTCTCTGGGAGCGCCCTGAGCTACTACCCCCATGATGTGCCGCGATTGTTACCTGAAGCGCCATTGGTCCCCGGGGCCATACGGACGCAGGAAGATGTAGTCGCTTCCTCCCTGGCGCGGTTGCCGGGGCAACGGTACCCCGAGACCGGAATTCGAGGCTGCGATCCATTCAGGGTAGGATGCTTGGGAGGAGGACGAGGTCCGGTCGGGATCCGGGCCTAAGAGGGCCTGCGGGAGGGCGGCCCGCGCCTCAGTTTCCTCATTGTTTCAGGGACGGGGAGAAGACCCAGACCGACTGAGGGGCGCCGCGTGTCAGTGTCATTTGTGTAATTTCAACAGCTTCTTTGCTGTTCTTTTACCTGTCCCGCTCCCCGCTCTCTTGTAAGCGTAGGATTCCCTTATTTTTGGTGAATTTACAAACGCGCTTGGATCTCGACGATCCAGCGTGGAACTTTCCCGCCACCGAGGGGATGAGCCTGTCCCCGCGTCCCTTGCTTCCTGAGCTGTCTAGAGACACATACGCATGCACGTTTTCTTTCTTTCTTTTTAATCTTTAAAGAGTTTTTTTACTGGGGTTGAACCCAGGGTGTTGTACTGAGCTACATTCGCAGTCCCTTTTTACGGTTTCTAGTTTGAGACAGGGTCTCGCTGAGCTCAGATGCCTCAGCCCCCCGGAGTGCTAGGGTGACAGTCCTTGGCCACCTGGCCTGGCTAAAGTCTTTGTCACTCTCTGAAAGCTTGGCAGATGACTCGTGAGTGACCTCCCGCTCTGTGCACAGTGAGGGTTACTGCGGTTCCTCAGAGAAGCCCTCACTCATGCCAGGGCACAGAGTAAGGGGACCTGGGAGAAGGCGGAGGCAACAGGGGCGGTTAAAAAGAGCCAGATACCCCGGGGTGCTCTGCACTACGTTGTTACTTTGTGTCGGAAATGAAAGACTTTAGTGAACAAATGAAGGTCAATTTCCGTAAAAAAAAAAATCCAGATGCTATATACCAGCCCCTCTAGAAGAGTGTATGTTTTAAATATTTTACTCTGAATGTTGCATGGTTGCAGTCCAGAGTAATCACTCCTCCCCAGGAGTCGGCACACGGACAGAACAGGTCTTCATTCTCCTCGCTTGCTCTCTCCCTCCTCTCTCTGCCCACACTGTGATTACTGTATATCACAAACACGCACTAATAAAATAATTCTTTTTCAGATAGGGTCTCACTATGCCATTCAGGCTGACCTTGAATTCACTGTATAGTACAGGCTGGCCTCATACTAGCAATCCTCCTGCCTCAGCCTCCCAAGTGTTGGGATTACAGGCATATGCTACCACTCCCAGCCAATAAAAGAAAAATTTAAAAAAATTTACAGGGATTTCAAAATTTGAAAAGATGAACAAAGCTGGGTGGGTGTGGTGTCGCATGCCTGTAATCTCAGTACTCTCGGAAGGCTAAGGCAGGAGGATCTCAAGTCGCCTAGATTACCTAGCATGACCCTGCCTCAAAGAACGAAACAAAACCAACAAAGTAAAAAATAGGCCCCAGCCCCCAGCCCGGCCAGAATAAATGGGAATTGGCAGTCTGGTTTCAGCTGGGCCTCCGCAGACGCTAGCTGTGCTGAGAGCTGAGTGCGCACTGTGGTCTCGATTTGGGGCCCTGGGGTGCACGCTACCAACCTCAGGTTTCCTTCCGATGCACTGTCTTCTTTTGTCCCTAGGCTGGCATCTGTGAGGAAAAGCAGCTGCGGTGCCTTTGCCTCCAGTGAGCCTCCTTGGATGGAGGGCATGGGAGACCCAATCTTGCACAGACGCCCTGCCCAGGCAGCCCCTACGGCTAGCAGGTTCATAAAGCGAGACCAAAGCAGGGGTGTGAAGCTCTTCAGCGCCCCAGAGCCTTCGGGCCAGGGGAGGGGGCCCTGGCTGAGCTCGGGCGGGTCCCCCGCCACCGCCCTGGCCACCAACACCGCCATGGCTACTGGGTCACGGGTCCGGGCCAGTGCAGTGCTCCGGAAGGTGGCCCAGATGGAAAGCAAGATCCTGAGCCGGGCGAAGGCATGTGCAACACAGCGGGACACGGAGTCAGACCCCAAGAAGGGAGAGGACGTGGCCCACGGGGGCACTAACAAGCCCCTGTCACGGGAGGTGCCGGGGACCTTCCAGACACGAGCCCGTGAGGCCTCCACGGCTGAGAGCCCAGCGCCAGGTGCGGAGGGCAGGAGATTCCTGAAGACCAAGGGACCGGCTGTGGGGGACAGGGCTCCAGACACTCAGCGTGGCACGGAGGGGATGCCGCGCGTGTCCCGGCGAGGGGGCCCAGCCAGGAAGCTGAATTCTCGGGACAGTGATGAAGAGGAGATGCAAGTCTTGCTGGGGAGCCTGGCGGAGCCTTCCAGAGAAGCGAGCGGCCAGCTGGGGCTGCCTGGCAGTAAGGTCAGCCAGCCGGGACCTACAGCAACGCCCTCGGTAAGGCTTCACCTTGTGTTTTTGTTGTTTGTCGGTTTGTTTTTGGTGTTTTGAGACAGGACGTAGCCCAGGCTGGCCTCCAACTTGTGGTGATCCTCCTGCCTGAGCCTCCTGAGTGCTGGGATGACAGGCGTGACCACCACACCCAGATCCACAACCTCCTCTTCAGGCTCAATTACATGGTTAGAGTAGCCCAGAGAACTCCGGGTTACACTTCCTGACGTCACTGGTTTATTATAAAGCGTGTTTTATCTTGTGCAGTGCTGGGAATGGAACCCAGGACCTTGCACATACTAGGCATACATTCATCACTGGGCTGCACACCGAGCAGAGGACATTTTAAAGGACACAGAAAGATAGGTGGAGAGGTCCCCAGGTCAGGGCCTTGAGTTGGAGCAGGGTGCCCTGCCCTCTTGGCACTCAGTGGGTTCTGCCACCTTCTGGAAAGGTGAGCGAAGGACTCATGGAGGCTTCCTTATGCTGTCATGTGGAAGCATGATTAGCCAAGCGTGGTAGCACAGGCCTACAATCCCAGCACTCAGGGAGGCTGGGGCAGGAGGATCACAAGTCCAAGCCTCAGCTTGGTACCTTAGCGACTCAGCCAGACCCTGACTCAAAGATTAAAAAGAGGGCTGGAGATGCAGCTCAGGGCAAAAGGCCCTGGGTTCCATTCCTAGCACTATGAAATAGATTAATACATTAGTGATAAAGATAGGAACCTAATTAGACATAAGGCTCCTAGGCGGAGCTGCAAGGCTGACAGGCGGGCTGGGTGGGGCAGTGTGTCCCCCTGGGTGAGGGAGAAGATCTGGGACAAGAATTCTTCCTTTCCGGGCTGGGGATTTAACTCAGTTGTTCCGCCACATGCCTCGCAAGTGCAAGGACCTCCTGAGTTTGATCCCTGGTACAAAAAAAAAAAAAGAATTCCTCCTTCCAGCCACACCCTAGGGACCACTTCCAGCCAGGCCTGTCTGCACACCCAGACCCTGGGCCTGGCTCAGATCTAAACCATATTGCTCTTGCCCTGGCCCCCAGAAGACTCATGTGCATCTCCATACAGAATGCACTTAGCCCATCTCTGAGCTTTGCCAGGTTCTCAACCATCCAGCACTGCCAAAAAGTCCAAGTTCCATCTCCTCCGAGACCCACGGCCGACATGGCTGAGCGCCTGCCCTGGACAGTGGGGAAGTTAAATACCGTCCTACACAAGAGCTGCAGGGCACAGCTCCCGGTCCAAAAGGAGGAATAGGTGGATAGAAAGGAGTGGAACCAAGCAAGACCAGGACCATGGGGCAAGCATTACACCCTGCAGCTCCATGTCCAGGGCCTGGGCAAGCTGTGGGGAGATAGGAGCTGCGGTGGCCCTGGTGGCCCTGGCCCCTGGCACTGCCAGTTTGCAGCCCTCGTGGCTTCTCTTAGGGTAGCTTTGCTTGTGGCCAGTGTCTTTCCTTAGCCACTCCCCACTTCTCCAAACTTCTGGGGTCTGCACTGCACCTTCAGCTTCAGACGCTGCCTTCTCTTGGGCCTGCTTCCCGGCCGCCTTCTGAAATCCGGATGGAAGCCTCCCTGACCGCACAATGCTTGCATTCTGCATGTACCGAAACCAGTGCCACATGGATAACACCGAGGTCTGCTGCCAGCTGGAGCAGTAGCCAGACCCCCTTGGACCATGTTTGCAGAGGCCTCTGGAGGCCTGGGTGGATGAACTCAGGGGAATCCTTCCCTGGTTGGCCCTGAATAGGATGTCCTGGGGCTCTCTTCTCAAAGCAAAACTTCAAATTTCAAATTTTCTAGTTTTCTTTCTGTCTTTTTTTCTGGTACCAGGGTTTGAATTCAGGACCTTGTGTTTGCAAGGCAGGTGCAGCACCACTGAGCTAAATCCCTGGCCCAAATTTTCTAATTTTCAAATTTAACCTTTTCTACTCTTTATCCTCCAAAGGGTAGAGTCTGACCAATTCCTGAGGTACCTTCAAGCCATTTTTCTGATTGTCCTGATGCAAAGTACTTGGATTCTTTTTAATGTTAATCTTTTCAACCATCATGTTCTTTTTCTTTTGGTACCGAGATCAAACTCAGGACCTTGCACTTGCAAAGCAGGTTCCACTGTGCAAAATCCCTGGCAACAGTCATGTTCTTAAAGGCCTCAACTTTCCAGGTGCTTGTTCTCTGATGAAATGGCAAACTTCAGATCATTCAGCTCTGCTTCTATATCTATCTACTTCTTTAGGTTTTTGAGATAGGGTCTCACTCTGTATTTCAGGTTGGCCTTAAACTCACTATGTAGCCCCAGCTGACCTCAAACTCAAAATGATCGTCCTGCCTCAGCCTCTCCAGTGCTGAGATCACAAGCATGTGCCACCACACCCAGCTTAGCTCTGCTTTTTTCTCCTGATTTTCACAGTAGTTCTGGCTACAAGCAGCCAGGAGCACCCATGGCACAGCTTGAACATTGGGGTGCCTTGAAATTTCCTCTACCATATCAATTTGTGCACCAGGTTTAAATTCATCCTCATATAGTCTTAGGACTGGGGCAAAATGTGGACCACACACATGGCCTCTCGTCTGTCCATTTGCCAGTATAACCCTTCCCATCTGAAACCTCCTGAGCCTGGCCTTTACTGTGCACATTCCTATCAGCATTCTGGTCTTCTGAGCTCAACCAGAATCTCCAATAAAGCTTGGCTTAAGGCTTTCTAGGGCTGCTTCTCCAGGCAGGATCTCCAAACCTTCCCCAATACCACATGCAAATAAGTGCCAAAAGCTTCTAAGCCAGCCGATAGGTGACTGACTCAGCCATAACCTATTTCTAGCACCATTTTTCTCTATCAGTCAGCTTTTCCATTTTGGGGACAAAATACCCAACACCTACAACTTACAGGAGGAGAAGTTTATTTGTCGCAGTTTCCAGTGGGTTCAGTCCATGGTTAGCTGGATCCGAGGCAGAAGCAGGTATGGCAGAGGGCCTGAGTGGAGGAAGGGTGCTCACCCTGTGGTAGGCAAGAAGCAGAGGGAGGAGCCGGGGACCCTCCCGGGTCACGCCCGCAACCCACCCTCATCCAGGCTCCAAGTCCAAACACCATTTCAGAGCTGAACCCTGACACCCCACATACTTAGGCTACGACGAGCTCAATCATTTCTCCCTTTTTGTTTTCACCCAAGTAGGATCAGATCCTGGCTCAGCAGAGTTCTTCCCGGTGTGAAGCCTGCTCAAAAGCTGAGCCCGCCGGCCTCAGGGTCAGCGTCCAGGGTCCTCACAGAGTCCTCTCCCCACAGACCCACGCCCCCCGCATGGTGTCACTCTCCACCTCGGGCACCTCGGCCGAGTCGGCGTCCTGCACCGCGGTGCCCAGCCCGCTCGCCTGCTCCCCGCGGAGGAGTGCCATGGGGCCCGACGACAGCGATGGCGACAGCAGCCTCACCGGTACTGTGTTGTCCCCGGCAGGAAGAGCAGGTGGTCACCCGACAGCCACTCGGGGAACAAGGGGCCGGCCTGTGTGGGCCTCTGAGCACAGCGCGTAGCTTCCAGCCTTTCTAAACATGTAGTGAGAACGCAGTTCAACTGGGAAATTCATCATTCATTTACAGATTTTAGGATCAATATTTTGTCACTTGAGGATCTGGCTCCAGCCGTCAGTGAGAAATCAGACTTGGAACGGAAAGTAAGTACTGCCCTTTCCTCCCTTCCCTGTCTCCCCTTCCATCCTTTTGCTCTGGTGCCGGAGCTGGAAGCAGCCCTCAGGTGTGCCAGGCACGCTCTCACCCTGAGCTACACCCCACACAACAGGGTCTCTGCATTACCAAGCCGCCTGGGCTGGGATTGCACTTGTGATCCTCCTGCCTCAGCCTCCGAGTGCTGGGATCACGGGCACGCTCCACCTTGTTGGCCTGGGTGTGGCACCTGCTGCATGCTCGTCTCCCGTCTCCCAAGCCACCTTCCTGTCCCTCTGTCGCCCTACACTCAGGGAGCCGGTGCCAGCGGAGAGAAGCCCTCAGGCAGCAGCCTTGCGGCCCAGGCAGCTGCTCCTGCTCAGCTGGGAGGGCCAGGGCGTCCCCAGCCGCAGAGCCTGGCATCTCAGAGTGCGGCCACCTCTGGGGCTGGAGACGAGGGTGTCCCCACCGAGAGCGAGGACACGGAGGGCCTGGGTGGCAGCGGGTCCAGCGGCAGGCCGTGCTCTGAGGTGAGCACTGTATACTCGGGGGACTTCGAACGCTCACCTGGCGCCTCCGAGGATGCTCCCGACGGAACACTGGACACCGTGTCCTCCAGGACAGGGACAGTGCTCCTCCCCAGACCACCCTCGTCC